TTGAACTTAGAAAAATACATTTCAATTAAAAACCTCTCTGTAGATGAATATAACAAATACTGGAGTCCCTGGGCCCCTATTATAGAATAAATAATAAATGTTGAATTTTGATTGAAACACCACTAACAAATATTGCAAGAACAAATAAGATTCCAATTTTATAAGAAAATTATTTATTTTCAACCTATTGTTGCGCCATCATATATTCAATTGTTGTTTAATTATTTAATACTTCCTTTGTGTAAATATGCCATTCTGTATACCTTTTGTTCATACATGTTGTGCTAGTCTATTTGTTACAATAAAGAAAATTCATTATAAAAAAAAAATATCATATCATTATAGAAAATTTCAAAAAATCTAAATCCATAATTTAAACATCCTTAGTCTATTTTCTAGAAACGTGCATGATATCAAAGTTCTAGCTTAAAATGACAAGAAAGAGCTAGACAAACAAACGATGTACCCACATGCATAATTTTACAGAAAAACGAGTATAATAAAAATCCTGTCCTTTATTGAAAATATAAAGAAAATTAAAATCCTGATAATTTGAACATCTTTAGTATATGGTTCAACAACATGAACAACTTGCATAATATAAAAGTTCAAGCTTAAAAACTGAAAGAAGAATTAACTTGATCTCCATGCTTAATTTCACCCAAAAAGAGGCTAACCAGATGAAAAGCTTTCTAGGACCTTTAACATGTTTGATTGCTCACACATATGATGTTTGCCAAGTTGTTAAAATAGTCTGCAATTTACACTCTTAACGTAGCTCCTATGATTTTAGAGAAAACCCATACCCAAAAAAGATAACTGAAAAAATCAAAATAGATGGGACAATAATCCTAAAACAGTTTGTAAACCTAACTGCTATAGTTCTTTTCCTGTTGATCATTGTTGAAGTATCCACTATTAACCTAGCTAATATATCTTTCGAGATAAGTAGTCTTAAAAAAGTAAAAAATGTTCATTATTGGGTTAATAACTCAATTATTGGTCAACAGATCTTTTTAAAATTTCCAAGGCGGGTAGAGATTGTGGTGTTGACCATATTTACGATCTTAGTGTTGCTATAGTTTTAAGATGCTAGCCAAAGATTGCACTTTGAACCCTGTGTTATATTTTAAGTCACAGTGTCCATTCAAACCATCATAATAGAATCCTATAAAGGATGCAGATAATCCTTCAAATTTGAATTCAATCAGCAGTTCAAGAGATAAGACATTCAAAGAAAAGTTTACGGAAAACGGGCGGACGAACAGACGGACGACAGATTGACAGACGATGGATGCAAAATGATAGAAAAAGCTACATGGCCCTTCCTGAAGCAAGATCCTGTCATTTGTGGAAAATTAAAAGAAAATTATAATCCAGCGACCCTTTTCACTAACAATCTTACGATTAAAATTGATCGTAAGTTATACTGAAATGTGTTTGACTTACGAGTATTTTCACTCTTAGGATTTTTTGTGAAAAGAGTCGCTGGTATATATATATAATTGAGAATGGAAACGGGGAATGTGTCAAAGACACAACAACCCGACAACAACCCGACCAAAGAGCAGAAAACAGCCCAAGGCCACAAATGGGTCTTCAACACAGCGAGAAAATCCCGCACCCGGATGCGGGCTTCAGCTGGCCCCTAAACAAAAGTGTGTAGTAGTTCAGTGAAAATGGACGTCACACTAAACTCCGAAACATAAAATAGAACTAAAAAAAACATACAAGACCGACAAAGGCGCAAAAATGCAGCGGGGTAAATAGATATAAGAAGATGTGGTATGAGTGCCAATGAGACAACTCTCCATCCAAGTCAAAATTTATAAAAGTAAACCATTATAGGTCACAGTACGTTCTTCAACACGGAGCATTGGCTCACACCGAACAAACATGTTTTGTGAGATCTCAACCCTCCCCATATACCTCTAGCCAATGTAGAATAAAAAAAACACACAGCAATACATACAGTAAAACTCAGTTTAAAAGAAGTCTGAGTCCGATGTCAGAAAAGGTAAAAGAAGAAACTAAGCAAAATGACAATGCTACATAAATTAACAAAGAACTACTAGCAGTTACTGATATGCCAGCTCCAGACTTCAATTAAACTGATTGGAAGATTATGTCTTCATTATATGAAAATCAAGCACAATCCCTCCCGTTAAGGGTTTAGTATCATACCATCATAAAATATATGAGAAGAACATAACCCGTATCCTGCCAACAACTGGTTTTAGAATAAATGTGTTTATTTCCGATGCAAAGACCCTATGAGTGAATCAATATTAATTTCAAAATATGCCATCTTTAATGACCTGACAACAGTATCGTAACTATATTCCTTCTGAATAAGTCTGTTAAAAGGTTTGGTTAGCTTTTGAGGTGAATGACGACATTTTTGTGCTTTGTATAGAATATTACCATAAAAAATTGGATGTGAAATACCTGAACGTATAAGATGTCTGCATGTTGATTTATATTTACGAATGATGTCCTTGTACCGATGATATAATTTAGTAAATGTTTTGACTAGTTTGTGATATCGAAAACCCTGGTGTAATAATTTTTCAGTAATACAGAGATTTCTTTCGTTAAAATCAAATACATTGTTACATACACGAGCGAATCGAACAAGTTGAGATATATAAACACCATAAGATGGTGACAAGTTAAGGGAACGTCACCATCTAAAATGGTATAATAACAATAGGAAATGAAAAATCGTCTCTTTTATCATAAATTTTGGTATTAAGCTTCCTGTAAAAGATATAGATATCAAGATCCAGGAAAGGGCAGTGTTTATTGTCAGTATTAGCTTTATTTAAAGTCAATTCAGCAGGATAAATCTCTTTAGTTTACATACTGAAGTCGTTATTATTGAGAGCCAATTTATCATCCAAATATCTAAAAGTGTTATTAAATTTTTGTATCAGATGTTGTTTCGATGGGTCTTTGCTGATTTTAGTCATAAATTGTAACTCATAACAATACAGAAACAGGCCCGCAATAAGTGGTGCACAGTTAGTCTCCATTGGAATTCCGATAACTTGACGAAATATGGAATCTCAATAGCGAACAAAAATGTTTTCTAGTAAAAATTCAAGTGCAGTTATCGTATTTAAGCAGGTCAAATTGACATTGTTTGTTGTAAGTACTTCCAACGAATTTTTGACACTCCAAAAGTAATTAATTCCACTATTTTCAAAGGCCTTATTTGAACAATTTATTACCAGGTTTTTGATTGTACCAAGTGTACTAGTAAGTAGAATAGACAGTTTAGTAGTGGAACAATGGCTTGAAGACGAAATAAATCTATATTTGTAAGGTGTTTTGTGCAGCTTCGGAGGCCAGTACATAGTTGGAACTTTCATTGTATTTTGTTCTGCTTGTAAAGAGGTAGCTAAAAGTTTATGTTTGTTACAGATGTCATTTTCCAAAAATGGAATCAGTTTGAATGTTGGTGAATTCGTGATATCCTTTTGCAGAACCTCAATGTAAAATTTACGTCAAACAATAATGATATTATTGGCAGCCTTATCAGCCTGAACAAAAACAAATTCCTTGGAGAGTTCTTTTAGTTTATGTTTGATACGAGAAATAGGGCTATTATGGTTGTTGCTAGGAGTAAAATGTTCTTTAAAATGTTTAATACGAATATTAACTATGTGTATTACTGAATCAAATAAAGAATCTAAGTATTTTTTGTCAGCATTTTCTCGTTTTATCCATTTGGTGCAGTAAGAACGGAGTGAGTCGTGGAAGATGTTACGACACTCATTCGAATTAATAATTGACGGGGGACGATATTTAGGTCCTTTACTAAGGAAACATTTCAACTCTCGGTCCTGGACGATGTTAAGGTCTCCTGTTATAACATGGGAACTGGGGCCATAAATGTATTTGGAATTACAGCAATTTCATGGATTAGGTGTATTATCACTGATATTAACATCTTTACACACTTCGCTATAATTAAACACATATTTCCGGGTAGATTTTTTTATAAACATAACAAATTAGAGGGAGCTCAGTATTATCAAAATAACCAGGAATCTGTTCTTTTACGGAATGATCATTAAAAATACCGGCATTTTTGACAAAATCAAAACCTTTATTTACATATTTGATTTTTATGAAATGTTTTTTGTGGTCTTCAGGGCGATCAATTTTGGGAAACAGTTTAGAATAACAATATGCAAATTATAATTTGGATGATTTCATACTTTGGACTGCAATTTGTAATTGTGTTGCAATCCTCTAAAATTTGATGTAATTTATTAACAGATAAAGACCAGAGTTTGGTTAACAGATAATGTCTGCCGTTGTGTTTTGAAATAGTAATTATGTCCGAAATATTTGTATTGTTAGTACGAACTTTCCTCTGATTGCGATTTTTTCTATGTCCATGAGAACGGTTTTTACGAACAGTTTTAGAAAACTACACTTCTTTCGCAAATGTATAATTTTAAAGTTACAGTTTGAGAACTGAAAGAGTTGTTAGCTTGGCAAATTATGTATCATATGTAGGACGGACGGAAGGACGGAAATCCTGTAGTGTTCGGAAAATTAAAACTAAGCGTCATTGATATCCTTCAAGCATTGTATATATCTGAGTAGAACATGACCTTGTCAATTTTGAAACCTTGACATTGCAGACAGACATACAAACGTGATCTGCAACAAACCTTCTAGTGGTAGGTAAAACAATGACAAATTTTCATCAGTATCCTTCATGGCACAAATTTGTATAATTGAATATTTGAATATAGGATAATTTTGTTACCTTGACCTTGCAGACAATTATTTTAACCTTCTCTTTCGACACACCGTTGTGTAGTGTGCAACAATACCAAGAATCGTTTATATCCGTCAAGTCATTTACAGTTCTCAACCGGAAATGACCTGGACAAACAGACCAACAGAGTGATTTATAGAAATACGACTTGCAGAAAAACAAGCGGTTTAAGTAATTATTTCAAGTTTTGTTTCCTTTACAGATTGACGATACAATCAAGACCATGAATAATTCAGTACAGGGTACCCTCCATAATATGGATGACATGAGAAATGCGGTTCAAAATTCAATTTAGCAATATACAGAAAACAAATACTTAATTTTATTGCATATATATAGGGAATTACTTTGACATAGATATTGAGAGTTCCGTCAAAGTGTTAAAATAGAATTAAGTTGTTTTTGGAAAAATATTTTTTAATCATTAGGAAATTGATATTCCCTACAACAAAACAATAAAACAAACAAGGTCAAAAGAGCCTGTCTAGCTCGAAAGGTAAGCAAGGTGCCTCGGCAATTGAAAGTGCCTTTGAAACGTGAAACATCTTCTTCAAAACTTTATTTCTAAAAGAAATGTTTAATCATAGGATTTCCATACTCTGCCTAACCTGGTTCATCTTTGTGTTTTAATAAAAAAAATAGTAAAAACCCTACAAGGCCTTGTCTGCTTTTCTTGTCATGATTGAATTAATGTAGAATGTTTTTTTTTTCAAAAAGAGAGTTCACTTCTATTCGTATGACAAACAGTAAACATTATCGATGAATCTATAAAATAAAATAAATTTCAGATGAGCCCTTCCATTCCATGCATCAAATATTAATAACCTATTGCTCATAGTATCCTAATACTAACTTAACTACAAAGACTTAACGTTGACCAATGATGGAACCATGTCTTATGCCAAACCCATCAAATTCGATCTGACCTGGTGTATGGTTCATGGTATTGTGTTAGAATTTCAAAAGATTTGATCAAGCGGTACTTAAACTATCATCTGAAAACTAAACATGGATATATGCATGTGGGTCTGGATGGGGCTTACAGAATAGAGAATAATGGATCACATTCTAATGAAAAATGGGTAAACAAATTACAGAATATAGTAAAAAAAGGCCAATAAAATAAAGAAAAAGAATAATGGGTCTTATAAAAATAAGGATATGTGGTATGATTGCCAATGAGACAACTATCCACCAAAGTTCAAATAAAGTGGATGAAAGCAATTATAGACAAGCGTACGGCCTTCATCAATGAGAAAAACCCATACCGTATGGTCGGCTATAAAATGCCCCGACATGAAAAATATGAAACGATTCAATTGAGAAAACTAACGGCCTAATGTATAACAAAACAATGTACGAAAAAACAAATATGACAGACATGAACCAACGACAACCACTGAACTACAGGCTCCTGACTTGGGACAGGCACATACAGAATGTGGCGGGGTTAAACATGTTGGTGAGCGCTCAACCCTCCACTAACCTTGGGACAGTGGTGTAACAGTACAACATAAGAACAAACTAAAAGAATCAGTTGAAAAAGGCTTAACTCATCAGATGGATACAAATAGAAATACATCTAACAAAATCAAAGAGTGGACGTGGACGGGTTCTTATACATCCACACAACAAAAAGACACTAATTACAGATCTGAGAGTAACTGACAGCTAGTTCAAAGCCAATAAACTATTAAAAAAAACATGTGTTGGACTCGGAACCGCGATGGTACTCCGAACCGTGATGGTCCACGCTGAAGTGCGATGGTGACATTGTGACGTTAACTTGTTGATAGCTACGCTGAAGTGCGATGGTGGTTACGCTGAATGCGATGGTCTTCCTGTGACATTGAGTAAAAAGCTTTTTTAATATCTAATTTTACAGTGGCAATTCTCCGATTAGCACCTACCAGTATGGAGTCAGAAAATAGATTGGATGGTTCAAATAAGCATAATGGGTTTGAGTGGAAGAAAATGTCTTTGTATGGGGTGTTCATGGGCGATAGAAAAAGGTCCAGCTTATGTGTCTATATATAGAACTGAGAAGGGTCCGTCTCATTTTATAAAATATAATTTGTTCACGTCATGACAAACTTAGAAATTTCTCCCAACAATCATTCATCCATTTATTTGATGTCGGAACAGTGTCAAAGAAGTAAGAAATAGCCAATTATATCTATGCTTGATTTATAGCGTGACGTGTCACGTATTCTACCAAAAACTTTAAAATTAGCTGCATCTCGCTGAGGTGGAGAAATTTGGAAGTACACGTAGGAACCAGTCAGGTTTATTTCGGCCACACTTGTTGAAGAATATTAACACTGTAACCACAATAAAATTATGCTAGAGTGCCGGTGTTCTCACAAAACGGATTTATCTCGGGAATAAAACAACATTATATCAATTTGATATAGCAAAAACCATTCGGCGTGGACCATCGCACTTCGGCGTGGACCATTGCACTTCATCATGACCATCGCACTTCAGCGTCCCCATCGCACCTCCGAGTCCTACACATGTATCTAAGACTAAAATATCAATAAGTACGTATTCAACATCTAATGTATTTAGTGTAAAGACGTCATTAACAATCAGAGAAAAACATGACCTTGTGCAATGTCAAACTATAGGTATCGACAGATCGTAGTACCGTGAAAATACATATGTGTAATATTTAGTATGGTTTTAATTTACTGATAACAAAATCAATATTAATACCAATAAAAAACAAAATTCAAAGATTTAATTACAGTGTTGAATAGGTAACCTTTCAGAATAAGTTTATTTAAAAGATTGATAAGTTTACCCGGATCGTATCTAAATTTCCGGGCTTGGTTTATAACATCACCGTAAAATTTAGGATGTGCTATTCCGTTTGAAATAAGTTTTCTACAGGTACAGCTAAACTTGCGGTTCAAATCTTTATATCGATGGAAGAATTTAGTAAAGGTTTTAAGTAATTTGGGGTAACGAAATTCCTGACTTAATAATTTACTAGTAATAAATGAATTACGCTCATTGAAATCCAAAACGTCACTACAAACACGAGCATAGCGAACGAGTTGGGATATATAAACAACGAAATATGGTGCAAATTGAACATCATCGTCCAAAAAGGGAAAATTACCAATAGGGAAAGAAATATCATCCCTTTTGTCGTTTTTTTTCTGTGGTGTTTCTGGTGTAATACTGAGATATCTTAATCTAGGAAAGGACAGTTATTGCTGTTAATATTTGATTTATTTAAAGTAAGTTCCTTTGGGTAAATGTCAGCAGCATATTTAGAGAATTCTTAATTATTTAAAGAAAAAATATCATCAAGATAACGGTGAGTATATATATATACACGTACAGAATTACAACGTACACTGAGGGTTGTGCTGCATATTTTGTCTTAATATTTGTGAGTCTAACAGTCTTCACAAGTACATTGTCTTTACTGTCATTTCAAATCTTCATGAATTGTAAAAATTGTTTTTTTTTTAAAGTACATGCTCTAATGGATTTCAAATTCAATCTGCTTAATTGTAGAAATTGATTTAAATCTGATATTAAGACCAATTTTGACCTAAACCTCCACATAATGACATTAATTTCCCCACTTCTCTTTCACTGATGTCCTCTCAGTTCAATGGCTCATGAAATTTATTCACTTTTTTCCTCTTTATCATTTTATCATCAGTATATAAACATTTGATTTTTTTTACTTTTGTTCTTGAATAACTTTTACGAATATCCCTTCCGTTATTTTTCAGATAGCAGACTTCTCGTCAGAAGAAAATCTCATCAATTAGGACAATGTAAATTCACACTATATCAACAGATAGACCTGACATCAGTAGCTGGTGATGACAACAGAAGAGTAGTATCAGATTTAGTGATGATGGATGATGCTAGACTGGTAATATGTTTATCTTTCCAATGCAGATTACTAATCTGTAATACAGATGGGTCACAGATAGACAGTATACGTTTACAGGGTAATCCATGTTGTGTTACAGCAGTCAACATCACTACAGTAGCTGTTACGATGGGGTATATTAATTGTATTGAGATGTATGACATAAACAATAAACTAAAACTTAAATCAATATCAGTACACGAAATGTGTTATAAAGGCATAACAACTATAAACAACAAGTTGGTTGTATGTGGTGCCAACAGACTACTGTTCACAGATCATCATACAGGGGAAGTGATAAGGACAACACAGACTGACTTTTATCCTTCGAGGTTATATAAATCTGGTGACAGAATATTCTACTGTTCTAGCAACAACAACGACAACAAGCTGTACTGGTACAACTATATATACTGATGACAGACATCACACCAAGACATTACCATCAAAACCAAGTTGGAGGACTACACTACAAGTTGGCAGTATGTATGTGATGTGTATTGGTGGATCAGTGCAACATGTCTCATATGATGGGAAACAACATGAAAATGTTACAGGTCTATGTCTAGGGAACGATAATGTATTGATCAGTTACAATGGGAAGCAAAATAAACTTGTTACGATTAATAATGTACAGAGGTTTGCAAGAGGAGTTGCTGTTCAAATATTTAAAGAGATCTAAACTATGTATTGTAAGATCTCTTAACTTTCGACCAGAATACATATACCACTATTTATAAATTTTGTACTTTTGACGAGGTCAATACGTTATATATGGACCTGTTCAGATTATTGTGACCGAGGACGAAGTCCGAGGTTCAATATATAACCGGTTCATATATAACGTATTGACTGTGTAAAAGTCCTTAATTTTTATATTTTACATAATATGTAAATAGTCTTTTATTGAAATGGACTTCAGTGCTTCTTCTGTGTTTTTTAAATTTAAAACCGACATTTTTTTTTAAGATTCCAGCCTGTATTCTATAAAATATCAAGAAATTCAAATTTAGTGTCAACTTCACAAACTGTTACATTTGGGAAGCTGTAATGTCATTTCCTCCTTGTTGCCTTTTTTTTTAATCTCTTCCCAATCTGTATCTTTTATCCCACAATCCATTGTTCCAACTCAACTCCAGTATCACACTTATCAGATGAAGTGAACTTAAAATAATATTCACCTCCTTCATTGGTTTCTAATATTACAGCTTCTGCAAACTGGTCTCTAGAGCTATGAATTAATAAATAAATGAAACTCAGTATTTCTACTTTTCTACTAAGGGGTGTGAGGTTTATGTAATTGAGACATGAACCCATGATCACACAAATCACAAGATATGACGGATAGAAATCGACCTTACAGGTGTACGTATACATGTACATGTATAAGACTTTGATTGATTTTGGAACATTCATATACGACATAAAAGATGAACTTTGGACTGTTATGTAGGGTTCTTATAACAACTCAATTTTAATTTCAAACAGTTTAAGGCTTTCCGTAGAGATTTTTTCAACCCGAAATAGATTTAAAAATGTTTTGATATTCATTTGCACAAGGCCGATTTCTATCCGACGCAGCTCAATTATGGAGATGTGTTTGAATTTTTAACTGATAAAGTGAAATTTGATCCAGTTTAAACCTTACCCCCTGGTATGAGGAGATAGAATAAATACTCTTTGATACTCACCTGTACAAGCAGATCATCTGTTTAATCTTAACAAAATTATAAAAAGATATGTTGTTAAACATTATATGATTTGGGGTATATTTCAATAATACAACAACCCAAAAAGTACACACACACACACACACACACACATAATAGAGGTAACAAAAGTTCAACATACCTATTTTGTTTTTTCAATTATTTTATCTAGATTTGTAAGCATGTTTACCGAATAGTATATTATGTACTACTGAACCATAACTGAATATTGGTAAACATATGTAAATATTGTCTGTATATGTTTTATTATAAGTTTAAAAAAATGTTTTGGAAAAAGTAAACGTGAGAGTTGTATGTTGTTGTATCAGAATTACCCAATAAAAAACCTATGAATTGGTATAGCAAGAATTTAAGATAACAACTAATCCAAGAGTTCAACGTGGTGAAGTTGAAATCATCCCTTTAAAATTCTATGGATGCCATCATGAGTTGGATGACCGTTATGGAATACTAGCATATGTTTCACAGATGACGGCGGATATGTTCCAATTGTTGTAACCACAATAATTTTTATTCCGTTCTCTTTTCCTCGAATGTGACCCACCGAATTACACTAACCGCCGGGTTTGTTAATATATGAGCAACTCGACGGGTGTCACATGTGGAGCAGGATCTGCTTACCCTTCTGGATCACCTGAGATCACCACCGATTTTTTGTGGGGTTGGCGTAGCTCAGTCTTTGGTTTTCTATGTTGTGTTTTGTATACTGTTGTTTGTAATTTCGTCGATTTTCGTTTTTTGCCATGGCATTGTCAGGTTATTTTCGACTTATGAGTTTGGATATCCCTTTGGTATCTTTCTCCTCTCTTTGAATAAGACATTCAACCTAGATATAGTGTACACTACACAAACCCTTAGATAAGAAGCTGTATTTTTATTCCTCCTTGTTGCCATTCTTTCTCGTACCAATCTGTTTCTTCTATCCCATAATTCATTGTTCCAACACAACTGTTCTGATTTCCTGTAACACCTTTACCGGATGAAGTGTTCTCAAAGCAATATCTACTTCTTTCATAGATTTCTGGTATAATACCAGCTGCAAAATGATCTTCAGAGCTATAAATAGATGCTTCATATTTTTGATAAAAAAGCCAAATGAATGTAATTGAAAATTTTCTGTAATGAATTTGTAATCATGTTTATTAACTATTATTATAACTTTTAAGTTAATGATTAGGATATAATTCCTCCGTGTCATTTTCTATGCTCATTTTAACATGGGCAGGCATTATAATTGTCGATATTTGACACAAAGCGTTAGCTAGGTGTAAACTATGGACAAATACATGAAGGACAAATACGGTATATTTATAGGTCGAAGCGTTCGAAAATACCTTAGTAGTTGGCTGTTCCCGTTTCCGCCCATGAATTATGTATATTACATTTTCATATTTAATAAGTTTGAAAACTAAAAGCATGTGTCAAACATATGTTGTGTTAATTAGAACATAGTTTGGTTTACAAAGCGAAATAAGGACGCCATACTACACTGTCAGATTTATACCTGATAATACATATGAGCTTACATTTAAACAGGTTACATCATATTGGATGACGGATTCATACAAAGTAGATGTGATGTACATGTCAATGAGACAGGAACCCATGAACACATAAACCAAAAGACATATAGAAATCAACATATGATAATGTGTTTGAATATTTGACTGATACAGTGAAACTTGTCCCAGTTCAAACCTTAACATTTAGAACGAGAAAACAGAATATCTACTCTTTGATATTTTCACCTGTATAAGTAGAGCACCCGTTTAATTTAAAAATCGCAAAAAAAGGTTGTTTTAAACCTTATATGATGTGGGTATCTCTCAATGAGAACAACTCAAAAAGTAAGCTTATCAAAAAGAGAGGTAATGAAAGATCAACATAGCCATTTTGTTCTTACAACTATTCTAATTTACATTCATTAGCATATTAATCACATATTATACCATGCACTATACCAGGGTCGGATTCAGACGGCGGCGTGGCGGGTGATAATTTTACCTAAAAATAAATAAGTTTGCGCCCCCCCCCCCCCCCCTAACCTAAAATCCAGGATCCGCCCCTGTACTATACTGTACTATGACCTGACCTAGTCCTTATTATGCCCGGAGGCACATAGGGCAAGGACTAGATCTTTCCACTCATCTCTGTTCTTTGCTTTCTTTTCTACTTCGCCCCAGCTAATTCCATGTTCTTTCATTTCAGCTTCAACTGTTCTTCTCCAAGTTGTTTTGGGGCGTCCTTTCTTTCTTTTCCCCTCAGGTGTCCATCTTAGGGCAACTCTGGTCAAGTCCTCTGCTGGTCTTCTAAGAACATGGCCAATCCATCTCCATCTTTTTTGCGTCAATAAGGTCTCCATGCTGTTGGATCCTGTTGTTTCATGGAGGTCTTTGTTGGTGATCTTACGTGGCCAGAATATCCTTAAGATCTTTCTAAGGCAACTGTTGTGAAAACTGGAGAGCTTGTTGATGTCTTTTTCTGTCATTCTCCAGCATTCAGCCCCATATAGCAGCACTGCTAGTACACAACTGTTATATAGTCTAATTTTGGTGTTCTTACTGATGTTGCTTGACTTCCAGATGTGACTTAGTTTTAAAAATGCAGTTCTTGCTTTTCCTATTCTGGCTCTGATGTCTTTGTCTGCTCCTCCTTCAGATGTTACTATGCTGCCCAAGTAGGTGAAAGATGAAGTGCAATCCAGGTGTGTCCCGTTTAAATCTATTACAGGAGGCTCTGAGATGTTAAGAGGCATGACTTCTGATTTCTTGATGTTGATATGCAATCCAATCATACTTGCATTCTTTTGTAACTTAGTGGTTTTGTCTTGCATGTGTGTTTCTAGATGTGACAGTAAGGCCAGATCATCTGCATAGTCCAGATCTTCTAGGTAGTTAAAGAGAGTCCACCTGATGCCTGTGTTGTTAATGCTTATGGTGGATTTCATTACCCAATCGACAACTATTATGAATAGAAGGGAAGACATAACACGGCCTTGTCTAACTCCCAATTTTACTAGAACACTGATGTCTGATGAAGTTCCTACAGTGCATCTGAATTCTGTATAAAACATTTTGATAAGTTGTACTATTTTAGCGGGTATTCCATAGCTTCGTAAGATCTTCCATAAGCTTTCTCTGTGTATGCTGTCAAAGGCTTTTTCAAAGTCTATAAAGTTTATTATCAGTTGCCTCTGCCATTCTGTGCACTGTTCTATAATGTTTCGTAGCACAAATATGTGGTCGCAACAACTCTTTCCTTTTCTAAAGCCTGCCTGTTCTTTTCTGAGTTTGTTGTCAATTGCTGTTTTAATTCTATCTATTAATATTTTGCTGAAAATTTTACTTGGGATTGGTAATAAGGTGATTCCTCTCCAGTTATTACAGTTTGTGAGATCGCCTTTCTTAGCCAGTCTTATGATGTTACCTTCTGACCAGTTTTTAGGTATTTTGGTATTTTGCCAAATATTTTTGAATGGTGTGTGCAGAATGTTTGCTGTTAAGGCTGGATCTGACTTGAATAGTTCTGCTGATAGCTTATCATTTCCGGGGGCTTTATTGTTTTTACGGCTCTTTACTGCTCTGATAATCTCTGATATTGATAGAATTTCTATGTTTACTTCAAGGTCGTGTTCTGCGATGGGTATGTTTGCTGTTGTTTCTGGTTCTGGCCTATTTAGTACTTCTTTGAAATGTTCATTCCATCTACTCTCTTGTTCTCTTTCAGATGTTATTAGATTACCCTGTTTGTCTTTTACTGGCATGTTGGTGTTTCTTTTGTGGCCACAAAGTTTCTTTGTAATTTGATAAAGGTCGCCCATTCTTTGCTCTGAAGCAGCTTTTTCAGCCTCTAGAGCCATTCCTTCGATGAATTCTTTTTTATCTTTTCTAGTGGCTTTCTTAACTTCCTTATTGCAGTTGGAGTATTGACCCATTAGTCTATCTTTTAGTCTATCAGAGTGAGTGTTACATATCTTTTTCTTTAGCTCTTTTCTGTTGTCAATCAGATTCCATGTCTCTGGTTTGATCCATTCCTTGTGTTTTTGGCGTTTGAAACCCAAGATTTTTTCGCTGGTCTTTTTAAACAGATCTTTAACTTCTAGCCATTGCTCATCTACTGTTTCACTTTCTTCCATGTTGTTACTTTTACGTTGTTCTAATAGTTGAAAGCGGTTCTTCAGTTCTAATTTGAAGTCATGGTTGGTTTTCATGTGTCTGAGTTTTCCTGTGTCAAATCTCTGTACCCTGCAAGGTTCTGATGCTCTCATAAGTTTGAGTTTGATGTTTGCTGTGACAAGATGATGGTCACTTCCTACATCAGCGCCTCGCCTTACTCTCACATCTTGTAAGGATCTCCTCCATTTACCGTTAATTGCTATGTGGTCTATCTGATTTTTATCTCTGCCTCCAGGTGATACCCAAGTCAGCTTATGGACCTCCTTGTGTCGGAACAATGTTCCACCTATTACAAGATTGTTCAGTCCACAGAAGTCTACTAGATGTTCTCCGTTTTCGTTCATGATTCCACAGCCATGTTTCCCCATTATTCTCTCAAAACCACTGTTATCTTGTCCCACTTTAGCATTAAAATCTCCCATGATGATTGTTAGGTCTTTTTTGGGGATTTTCTCTATCTCAGCTTGGAGCATTTCGTAGAATTCCATCTTTATTTCTTTATCAGCTTCATTTGTTGGGGAATAGACTTGGATGATTGATGTCTTTATAGGTTTTGTATTTAGTCTTGCTGTTATTATTCTTTCATTGACTGGATTGTACTCAATGAGTGATTTAGATGCTGATTTGTTGAGGATGATGGCAACTCCTCCCTGGTGTTTGTCATCTTTTCTACCAGAGTATATGATTTTTTCCAAACCCTGTCCATCTGCATTCACTTATACCTAGTATGTGCAGCTTGTTTTCCTTCATTTCTCTTAACACTTGAGCTTGTTTTCCCGTCTCGTACATGGTACGGACATTCCAAAAGCCCAGTTTAAGTTTGGTTCTCGCATTCAGGATACTTTTCGTGTGACTAGCTTCCTGTTGGCTTTCACTAGTCCCATTCATATGCGCAGAATTCTGCTGGTATTCTGATGTTACGAGACGAGGTAAATTTTTTCTTATCCTTGTTTCCGTAATCAGATGCCGTTTTATGAGTAGGGGAGATTACCCCCTAGCTCAACCTCCAACCTGGTGGACCAGGGTTATTTGTTTATGGTTTTCCATCCAATAGATAGATGCCTTCCTAGGCTTACGAGTCTGATCTACCCGTTGATTTTGATTTTAGAGTTTTCTTCTCTTAGGAAAATTGCTGTAACCTGGCTGCGACCCTCTCCTGGCCGACTATTTTACCCATAGTTGGGGCAAGGTTAATGAGTGCTAGGGCATGTCCACATACCAATGGGCCTACACACTGCATTTGTGGGGCCCTTGCTGCTCCGAGATCCCCAACAGATTCGCCTGATCTATGCAATCAGTTTCCGTGTGCTACCGCGGGGAGGCTACTGCTGAAGTCTTGATAATGCAGAGGCTATGTACTGGCAGGAAAGACTTACTCACTCGGCTTTCTTTTCGCAAAAAATATTGCTAGCCAGCGGCATAAGACATCCATAGGACAGTCCCATACACTAGACGCATATCATTACCCTGTGATGCACTACCATCACCAACACACTGTACTATACTGTTCCATAAACTAAATATTGGTATGCATATGTAAATATTCTCTGTAATGCTTTATCATTAGTTTTTAAAAACAAATATTATTTAGAGAAAGTTAAAAAAAATGATAGTTGTATTTTGTTGTACCAGAAGTCAATCATGTGTCAATTGCTTGATATAAAAATATATGTATTGTTATAGCAAGAATTTAAGATAACAGTTGAATCTGTTTTTTATACAGTCAATAATGTTACCCGTTTACATTTCTGTTCAATATTTTGACAAAAAGCTTTGTTTATTTGCTTATGTATCTCATAGTAGTTATTATATCAATAAAAACATTGGAAACTTTGTTTCAATTATTTCTACACTGTGTAAGTTTTGTATGTATACACACCGCACAAACTAAGAAAATCCTCATATTTGTAAAGAATAATTTAAACAACAGTTTACACTCTCAAATATCATATCAGCTTTGCTGATCATGATAGAATGTATGTTGAAAGTCTTTGAAATATTTTTTTACTACAAGCATAACATAAACTTAACACTATCGACAATCCGTGCAAAATGGGTGAATGCCAGATGAACCCTACCAGACGACAGGCAAATTTACCAATCGTACAACTACCTATTGCTTACAGTATCTGAGAAACAGTTCTAGTCACGAAAATCTAACTTAGATCAAGGAACCATAAAAAGAAGTTCATGGTCAGATGAACCCTGCCAGACCAACATGTTTAACTTGCAATAATTCTATATAATTTAATTTACCTTAATTGCTTACAAAATCTCAGAACTGGACCTAAACTTGTTAGTAAAAATCTAAAACATGATATCAAATCATAATTTTAAAGGTGATGTTGCTTTAAGAATCCGTAAATTTTGATACGATCCATGTACACTCATTAATTCTAAAAGGTTTTCAATTTCACATAGTAGTAAGATCTTGGTTATAATTATAATTTCATAGGTACTATCACTGGGCTTGTTTTATGCATTAGAACATATCACACATATGGCTATACAGTTATAAATACTTATGGCCTTACATCCTGTCGATAATTATATATTGTCATTGCACAAGAACATGCTTTTCAACGACTGTTTAGGACGTCTTTACACTAAATCCATCGGATGTGTAATGAAATTTTAGTCTGAAAAATATGGTTTATTTCTTAGATGAAATTGGCTGTGAACTTACTGTCAGACTCTGCGAATACCCTGGATTGGTACCGAGTGTTGTCGTTGGATAAGCACCCTCCTGTCTCCCATTCAGCTAAATCGTTGCAGGAGGGACACAAACCTTTTTTTTTTTTCTAACAGTTTTCTGGAATATTTCAATATGCTAGATTTTTATTGACGACCTACAGTCATTTATCTTTTGATTGACGGTGTATTTCCAAAGACAGTCTGCACGTAAATCGAAACTTACCATTCCTCAAATTGTTTTATTTTTCGAAAAGACAGACGTAGCCGCATTTTTGAGCCTGTCCCAAGTCAGGAGCCTCTAGCCTTTGTTAGTCTTGTATTATTTTTAATTTTAGTTTCTTGTGTACAATTTGGAGTTTAGTATGGCGTTCATTATCACTTAACTAGTATATATATTTGTTTAGGGGCCAGCTGAAGGACGCCTCCGGGTGCGGGAATTTCTCGCTGCATTGAAGACCTGTTGGTGACCTTCTGCTGTTGTCTGTTCTATGGTCGGGTTGTTGTCTCTTTGACACATTCCCCATTTCCATTCTCAATTTTATTAGTACAGTTACTTCGAAAGAAAAAGGGAAAAGAAAACAGAACTGTCCTTTACACTTCATTATATAGAGGATGTTCTCTCATTGATTAATTCATAGCATCTATAACATTGAAATTCAAAAACAGGATATCAGAGATGCTGTTAGATACGCTCCATTTTCTATATTTTAACTATAAATTGACAGTTTTGTAAATTTTTAAATACAAAAGAGATCATTGCGGTAAATTTTCCTATTCTGAATTTTTTATTTTCATCTGCATGAAGAGTTGCATCCACAAAGTGCATACTGAATAACGTTCTTACTATTATACACCTCTAATTGTTTTGCTGAAATTTGTCTCAGTTTTATGCTGAGTTATTTTTCTACTGCTTCACATAAGTTATTTTCTATCATTTATGTTTTTTAATGCAAGCTTTCTAATGGATTTGGATGGATTACATGACAATGTAAGTATGATAAAATTTGACCAAAATATATATTTCTATGACTGAATATATATTCTGTTTGGTTTGCTCATTCAATTTTGTCAATATAACGGAACTATATAAACAACTGTCATACAGATGGGAGGTTTAGGTAGCTATAAAATCAGGTTTAACCCACTATTTTCGTCAGGAAATGCATGTACCAAGTCAGGAGTATGGCAGTTATTTTTCACTAGTTACGTTGATTGATAGCGTTTAATTTTGTCAGTTTTTATGGACTTCCCGTCTTTGCATTTGCCTTGGAGTTCGGTCTTTTGTTATACTTATTTTCCCATATAAAGAAATAAAAAAGAACATGTTTTTTTGGCCTAGTTTTCACTTGATGGGTTAAATATATTACCTTGAAGAACTCTAGATGGCTATCCTACATCTATTTTTAATAATTACACACGTTCCTGTCCAAATTATTTATCAACATTGTGATTTGACAGGTGAAGGGGCACTTAAATACTTAAATGTTTTAGAGGAGGTTTACCTAACAAACGTAAATAATTTATCCTGCTATTTTCTGGTTTATCGATTTTTCCGTACATTTTCGACTGGAGTATTCACAACAAAATCAATAACATTATTTAGAAAGGCTACAGACATGTTATTTAAACAATGACAAACATTTAAGTCATTAAACACCTTCGTGAGATTCTTCGAAATAGATCACTTGTGGTTTTCTTTAATGAAAGGAAAAATAATCCCGCATGTCCATCATGAACCGATCCGATAATTGTTTCATATAGTCCACTGATAATAACATTGTCAGCGAGTACTTATCAAAGCAAAAATGTACAAAAAACGAAAATCGATTCTAAATCGGTTTTGAACCTCTGATAACTCCTAATACTCGAGTTTTTTTTCTCAATTGCTTAACGCAGCGACCATAGACAAGACAAGATGAAATTGAGAATGTAACGGGGAATGCGTCAAAGAAACAACAACCCCACCAAAGAGTAGAAAACAGCCCAAGGCCACACATGGGTCTTCAACACAGCGAGAAAATCCCGCACCCGGAGACGACCTTCAGCTGGCCCCTTAACAATAATGTATACTAGTTCAGCGTAAATAGACGTCACACTTAACTCCAAAACGTATAAATGAACCAAAATTAAAAAAACATACAAGACTCACAAAGGCAAGAGTTTCCTAACTTGGGACAGGCATGTTTTGTGAGATCTCAATCCTATATTTCTACTTACTTTTTATAATTTGTAATTGATGAATAGTGATACATATATTTACACCCTGTCCTTGGAACAAAATAATGTGGATGGATTCTTAATTATTTTTGCCACATTTTTTTCTGCTGATGTGTGGGAGTATTAAAGCCACAGAAAAAACTATTCTTCTTCTCTTGTGGTAATTATTTCCCATGTGATTCAGTACGCATGCGGGATATATGTTGTTACTGGTGGTATATTCATTTGTCATCAGTCAACTAACACTTAGTTAATATAGGTACATGTATATCAAAAGTTTATTAAGTAGTGTTATTTGTCATGTTTAATCTAGTGTAAGTAATGCTGTAAAATTAGAATGTTTCTATTCCATCGTTGTATGTAATTAATTGTGTCTGTATTCCTTGTTTGTAATACCGGCATGACCTTTGACTTATTTCTTATCTTTTTTACACTGCAATTATACTTTCTGTGTGTGTTCCAATGTTGAATTCCTTCATACGAGAATTGTGCACTAAGATATGCGACAAAA